TGTGCATTCATCTCAGTCAGGTGAGCACAACGGACAACATTCAAGGGGGTCACCCTTCCACTATACTGAGAGCCGTACTGGTGAAAACGGAGAAATACAACGACGGCAGAACCGAGTCGTTTTCACCGCGGCAGTATAAGAGGTTAACCCAGGGCAACATCCCTGAGCTGATAATATCGGTGTTAGATATAAATCATAATCTCGTGAATATAGGATACCTCAGCATAACGCTGCACATAAAATGACCAGCGCACAAGGTCCTGGAATGAAGTTGAAAAAAATGCACCAATGTGGGGATCTCCGACCTCGGGGACACACGCGGATTCGACGACCCCGGAGTAGATGGTAAATTGTACGCCTTGCAACTGAAAAACAGCATTTACAAACGCGTTGAAGTCCCCTCCAATGGTACTAGCAATCTAAGTGATATGGTAGATACCTCAGGAGCGGTCGTCAACACTAAGTACACCCTTGTCAACACCGGTGATGATAACTGGATGATATACCCATCGTTCGGGGGCAAACTGTTCGACTTAGACGATGTTGAGAGCACTACCATCGCCCGAAACAAGCCATATACGCTAGTCTTCACCGATGATGACAAGTGGGTGTTATTACCCGATAAAGCCGACTGGTTTCTCAACATTAGGCTCGGCTCCCCCTATGTGTTCACGGATAACAAAGACAACCACCTAAACAAAGTCGTAAACAACGGAATCCTGCTCGTGGCTTATGTCCCGACTCAGAGACGTAGCGTAGTCATCAGCCCACTCGCCAGTATGGCAGCCCACATGCTATCGAGTAAAGCGGGCATGCAAAACGTGGTATTGCAGTTGGTGTCTGAATTCGAAGGCGTGGTCAGGATCCTGGAGAGTCTACCGGCGAACTCAACACTGGTCATCCAAGTCTACCTAGGGGAACCATCGCGGGATGATGTAGAGATCGTGAAGGGGGGTCAAACTCCGGTGGGGAAAACAACAACAGTATAACGTTTGCAACGTTTACGTGCGGGTGGGTGTCGACTCCAAAACCAGTCTGCAGGGTGTCACCGTGGTCGTGGAAGACACTATATCACTAACCAAGATATTCCTACCCGACAACATACACTTCATGGGGGTGAAGTGCACCCCTGAACTATTATCAGAAAACCAGTTGGAAATTATCTCGTAATAGTATTATAGCAATGTCTTGGTTTCACCCCAACACTACGATTAACGACCTAGGGGACACGGAGGGATTCGACCAGCCTGGTGAGGAAGGCACCTTATACATCCTACACTTGAAAGACAACGTGTATAGGCGGGTGTCGTTATCAGATTTTAAAGAGCCTGAATGGTTAGTCAACTTAACCCTCACCTCACCTTATATCTCCTTGAAACAAAATAATACTATCTCCGAGATTAGGAACAACGGTATGATTATAGGATCGTTCGTTCCGGAATCTAGTGTACAAGTCATACCAATACCAGACCACTCGGGTAACATGTTAGCTTCCAGTGGGACGGTGAAGACAGAGATCAAATTACTCGATTACCAAGAGGTCTTTAGAAATGTCACGGAAAACTTCACATTCCTCATAGACGTCTATCTCGGAGATATAGGTTTGACTAGTAATTATATTTACATTATAGAGGATATGGTGATAGGTTGGCAAGACAGGTGTAATAACCAACGTTGTTGTATTATTAAGGTATCGGGAAACAAACCTTTAGCAAGCCTTGATGGGGTTCGTCTCCTTAATGGACGTAGAGCTAAGACCCCGCTTTTTTACACGCACGTTAATCTAAGTATTGTCGGCTTTAAGTACATTAATCGAAGGTTAAATGAAACCCAATTAAAATATATTATGGGATTGAGCTATATCCCTGAACTAGTACCAGAAAACTAGTTGGAAATTATATCATAATAGTATTATAACAATGTCTTGGCTTCACCCCAACACTACGCTTAACGATCTAGGGGACACGGATGGGTTCGATCAGCCTGGTGAGGAAGACACCTTATACATCCTGCACTTGAAAGACAACGTGTATAGGCGGGTGTCGTTATCAGATTTTAAAGAGCCTAAATGGATAGTCAACTTAACCCTCACCTCACCTTATATCTCTTTTCGTAGTGGTGGGTCTATCACTAGGGATATCACCGAAATTAAGAACAGCGGTATCTTGCTCGGGGGGTTTCAACCTCATGGTTCTCAACCTATAAGAGTTTCCCGAATCCCAGGCCATATGGAATACATGTTAGATACACCCGGGATTGGAGCAGAGTTAACACCCACTGGCCCACTATCTAATATATCTATACGTCCAGGCTCCACATTAATCATAAAACTCTTTTTAAAAGACGACGATGTGTCTCCAATATGGGGTATTTTACGTGGGGTGATAATAGACTTATCTATTGGTTCATTTAATGGTCACCATTGTAGTATCGTCATACGGCGGGACTCGGTCCACGGAAGGTTGCTGCCCCCCTTAATAAACCCCTCTATACTTCGTATAGAACAAAAGTTACCTATTGAATTTCCCTATATTAACCTAACCAAGAACATAGGCCTTATAAACCTCAGGTACGTTGACCAACTATTAACTGATACCCAATTAAAATATCTTTTGTAATATATATTATAGGATGGGACTGTACCCAGGCGTAGATGAAGTAGCGAAGACCCTGGAAACCGTAGACGGGTTCCGCTTGAGACAGTTATGCGATGTAAAACGTCAACTAGAACAAGACCGCGATAAGCGGAAAGCACTATATAAGAAGTACCATAGAGCTTTCAATGCCGTGGACGGGACCGATACTACCCTTATGGCATCCAGCATGGGCCTAGGGGTGGCAGGTGTTGGGTTGTTAGCTACCATCGTGGCCGCACCTATAGTGATGGGGCTCGAAATAACAGCTGGGGTGACAGGGGTGTTGGGGTTGGGGCTTAAGCTTGTATCCCGCAGACTGCATCGTAAAGCATTGAAACACGACGAAATCAGGGTTCTGGCCGAAGCAAAGCTGAACACGGTGAGTGAGCGTATTTCCACGGCACTCACTGACAGTAAGATCTCGGAGGAGGAGTTTCGTTCAATCCTCTCTGAACTCACAAAATATGACAAAATGAAACAAGAGATTCGATCCAAGTCTCGTAAGTCTGCTGCTATCAGTGAGGACGAGAAAAAAAAGTACATAGAACAAGGGGTGAAAAAAGCCCAGCAAGCTTTTATTACAAACACCAAAGAGATCCTAGGCGATTCACATTAAACTGTTTCCTTGAGGTCAACGTGACATAGCGACACGTGGACATATATAAAATGAACTACTTAATGGATGGGCCAGGCAGAGGGTTTGTAAAAGAAGAATTATTAATCGTACCGTATGACACAATGCTACCTCCCGTCAACACGACATAGAGGCTATTTGATCAAACAAATGTTTTCATAGCTTGATCCAACTAAAGCATTATTTAGGAAATAAGGCTTTCTGTATAGGTAATGACAGTAAGAATAAGGTATCCGACTAAAGCTTTATCTATGTAATAAAGCTTTGGCTACCCTGGTCCCGGACTGTCGTTACCTATACTACTGAAGGATCGTTTTACAGACGAACCTTGGTACCAACAGAAGCTGGATATGCACACGCTCGATAAAATCTCCCTAAAATCTGCCACTCTGGCAAGGTAATTTGTATTTTATTGTCCGAAAACAAACTTAGCATTGAGATTGAAAGCACTTCACTTACATGATAATGATCACGTACGTCCCTTGTAATTATCGTATTTTCTGACAAAAAAATTGAATATATGTTTCAGGTTACTTTAGCAACTCGTTTATTCAACGAGAAAGTTGATGAACAGCTTATCATGCAGCACACTGGACACAGAAGCACAGCAGACCAGGCATACAAGAGAACCTCCTCCCCACTTCAACAGGAAATCTCTGACATGTTACAACCCCCACGACCAGCAAATACAGTCGCCTCTACACCAACCTGATCAAATACGGCAACCCCAACACCGACGTTAACGGTAACTTCTGCAAAAGTATCAACGTCCACTGCGCCAGAAAGAAAGGCCGAGGATGGTTTTGTTCCCGCGAAAAAACTTCATTTTCGTGAAGTCAAGGTAAATACAAGTTATTTTAAATAAATCCCTATAGTCTTGTATGTTTTGCTTGGTACCATAAAGAGCTACAGTAAGCTATTATAGTTACTTCCAATACACCTACAGTAAATACAAAAGAAAGCATGGCAACGAGACCGGAAGTGTAGTATAAAGCCCTGAGAGCTCATAGAGACAATGAGGGAAGACTTTTTAGAAGTTGAAGGAAAATCAAGTTCTATGGATAGTCAACTTCATTATTATTCCTGAGAGTTCAACGTTAAATATTTTGCGAACAAGCAAACAAACACTCTCCAACATATATCTTTATAATGCGTTTAGTCACTGTCATTCCATGTGTATGTGAAGAAATGAGTGTGGGTATACAATTCAACTCAGATAATTATGGCTAAATTGGGATGATGTGTGATTTGTTTAATCACAAATATTTTCGTTTAACGTGGTAATGTTTGGTCTTTCGTGACGTTCGTCACTGGCATCATTTGAAAGGGTAATCCTATAGTCAACTGACCGTTCTTCCCGCTGTAAGACCTGTTAAATCCATATTTGTTGATGTTGGGAACAGCTTCTACGTCAGTTCCATGCCACATGATGCGTTCATTCTCTTTGGAGGGATGCTCCTTCTGGACAGTCTGCATCGCGATCTGGTACTGCTTGTACAGATCCCTAATCTGAATCCTCTCAATCTGAGGTGAAAAATGAAAATATTTTGATAAGCCTCCTACTGAACTACGGGATGCTAATTGCTATGCTTTGTGTACATGTTTCTGTGACTGACTAATGGTCATGGGAATGCATCAGTTGTATGATCGTTTTGAAAATATTACTTAAATCAGGTCACTTTGATTAATACCACGTTAATCCCGTTCTTATAAGTCTACGTTGTTTACCTTAAAGATGGTAGCATGATCTCTCTTTTCACACAAAGCCGCCATGAAACTGTTCTTCACACTCTTGTATTCTATGCCTCCTTCAGCAACGTTGAAAACCCTCTGGTCAGACTCGACGCTTTCCCAGCAAGTGGGATACGCTAGATGGACATACACAAATTCTCACGTTAGAAAAACGTGCTAATGTTTCATTCGCGAAGTGAAAGAAATACATAACGAATAAATTAGTCTTTTTGTCTGGAGAACCAGACCCAATTATTAAAGAGGAAACGCTCAAGGCAAGTTTGTAATTTTTATTCTTCCAATCCAAATTTTCGATACATCTCTTCGTACCTGTTTCCTATAAGCAACGATTACGTGGACGCCACTTGCGTCATAAAGGAGCAAGCCCAGACACATCAAATTCAATACGTAAACAATCATGAGTCAAGCACGTCTTCAATGATGCTTCGGAGCGACAAGCGAACACTTTCACAACTAGGCTTACAACAACAACACCATGATGAAACCTGCACTGATATTTAACAAATAACATTTATACCTACCCACAAAACCAAAATCAGCTACTGTTTGTAGAGTCTGATCCAAATAATGACACACTTTGGTGAGGCCTTGGAGTGGTCCCCTTCAGACGAACCTGACCACTAGATTTTAATGTGTTGATATCTATGCTCTCTTTCTCTGCAAACGCCTCAAGATCTTCAATCTGAGGTTGATAGGAAAAGGACAGGCGATCGAGAAGGAATTCACTGCAGAGTAATTTACTTTACTTTTAAAAATATTTACCATGAATGGTAGATGGTACGCGGCATCTACCTCTCAATGAAACCTACCCCACATAAATATCTTTTGGAATTTTAGCTGTGTTCCAAAAACTCGATAAAGTCTGATTAAGTTCCTGCTTTGTTGTAGTAAGAACAAATGAGTACCATTAATTGGACATTTAGAGCTATCCATTTTCAGTATGGGAATCAGGAAGATTGCCTCACATTCTGCTTTCCATGCTTTTTATTACCTGTGAAAACTTCAGCTTCTGTATCCGCTTATCCAGAACGTTCCTGGTGCAATCTTCTTCACATCTGTCTGGCAGTGTCCTGACGAATGCGTCACCCAGTGAGAATGGCACTCTAAACCGGTGTCTACCCTGGCGTTCTACTACAGGCATCTGCGGCTTAAAATATGTTATTACACATATATTGACATTAATTATTGGACTGGTATAACATATTCAAACGTGCGGACCATGATCGTATCCAGTCAGCGATTGAACACCTGTGCAACAATACCTCCACGATTATCAGTGTGGAACCTACCTTTGGTATCAATGTTTGAAAGTCTAACACACCAACTTCCGTTGGAGACTCTGTTTTGGAGCTTGTCCATGTAGGTAGCGTTCTACCCGATGACAGATATCCTGATAACAAGAAACGTAACTTGAGATATCACTCAATATGGTATGAAAGGAAAGACGCATTTTACGCGTATATAACTGACTGACATGCTTCACTTTTTCGCAGTCACTTTTCGTGAGCATTATAAGACAGGCTTTATGGATAACAACTTCTATACCTCATGGTTAAAGTACCACAGAATGATATAATGTTGTTAGTGTACCGCAGTCAGCAAAATTGAGTCATCCAACAGTTCGAATCAACCGAACAGTAACTAAACCGAGACGTGACGAATCACCTCTATATATCATATTCTATGTTCAGACCAGCAACGCAGCACATGGTCACCTTTGGTTACCTTCCGCTCTTTTCTAAATTAGAGTCGCAAAAACAACTCCAGTTGGGACAAAGGTGCATAGAAAGATTTGTAAAGGTGGTGCAGGATAAGGTCACCTCTTTGCGAACACTAGGCATAATCACTAGTGGATAGTGATTCATTAATATGTTTATTATATAGTTGAAAAATCATGCAATGGACAAACGCTTTTTGCAAATATTTCGTAAGATTATAGAAACGGTTTGGTCTCTTATATAAAGGGCCTTGCTTTGAACAAATCATTATCATAAAAGTTATTAGTTTTTGTCAAACATGTCACAAATAGAATCTATATACTATGTACTATATTGAACTGTTCTTGGAAAACGGAGTTTTGCACCGCATACTTACTTATACTTGAATACTTGTCTTCAGGTACCGTTACTTTTTGTAGGTGCCTTTTACAAAACTGAAATGGTAAAGAACTATCATGTACACGGCCAGTAATGGTCTCAGTATAGCAGAGAAATCAAAGATAACAAAAGAAGGTTTTCACAGAAACGTAACACATAGATATATAATAAAACACCCATCATAACGTCAATATGTTACTTATCTGATCAAAGAACTTGGTACAAGGAAAGTATCAAACAATATCACATGTACGGCAAGTGTGTCAGCCGGGATAGTAGTGTTATCCCTTGGTTCTGGTCCTGTCGTATGCATACTTCCATCTCATCCGAAATATGTTCTATAATGGTCGGAGGGGGATGCGGTCTTGGGGAACAGGTAGCCATGGTGGTACAACAATGTTATGCTGCCTTACAATATCTGATTCTATTGTTGCAACCAGTGGGGTGGCATTATGCTGCTGCAACTTGGCGTTACCTTCCTACATTGTCACAAATCTATGTGTCTATAAATGCCTGGCAATTTACTTTTGTGCCTTTCCTGTTTGCAGCACATGACTTGTCTTCTCGCTATGTATTGAAAGATGCATGAAGCACTTTCAGAATACATCTATCTGTATGAAGCACACTTACGTTTCCGTTATACTAGTTGCGTCTACATCTTCAAAGATTCGGGCCATTTTTGGCCACAAATGCCAACACGTTACCGAGGTTTACTACGATATATGAAATACTAGACTTCTTCATAGATAACAGGAAAATTTATAAATACATTTAGCATCAGCTCTGGGTTTTTAAACTATTTATAGGAATGATGATATCATGCGAAAAAGCGAGTTGGCAATGACACAGACACATCCAAGTAAACTTTTCGCTTGAAAACATCTTCAGATGTCAGGTACCTACCCCTTCAAAGTTAACGTCATTTGGACAACCGACGACGTGCACGTCCGCAAGGAAAAGAGGAACATTGTCAAACTCCCGCACAGTGTCAATAATGGCCGCTGCTGTCACGTACTTTGGGTAGCCAAGATTGCCAGTTCCAAGGGCAGGAAAGGCAATGGATTTGTATCCCTGAGTCGAAGCGTTGATGATGCAATCACTGACAACTTGTCTTAACACCTTACAAAATAAAAGCAACGGTTACTGTAAACTTTGACGATGTGTGTGTTCGTGTTTAATTTTACGCCGCTTTTAGCAATATCCCAGCAAGGTCACGGCTGGGGACACCAGAAATGGGCTTCACACATCGAACCTGAACACTTTAACCACTAGACTACCCTGTCGCTCCACGTCTGACTATTACTGTATTAATCAACTTGACTGTAACTGAGAGCTCTAGAACTGAACAACGTTTGGCCACGTTGTTGCCAGAAGGAACTATTTCCAAACACATTACACTTTTTTAAAGCATATATGTTATTAGATGTGATTTACATGTAAAAGATAAACTGTGTTGAATTCTCCATCATAAGGGATAAATATTTCAATGTCAAAACAATGAATGATTTTTTGACAAATGTTAGTTTTCATTTAATTATTGTTTTTTTTAAAAGAGATTGATTTATTTGATGAACTTTGAGTAACGTGTTTTGTAAATAGCTATATTTTAAAGGTTGGTAGTTTAGATTAGTAACTTAGATTGTTAGTGGCTGTACCCTCAAAGGGGGTTAAAGTACTGTAAAATTATGGTCCTCCTGAGAGGGTACGTAAGTCCCAAAACTTTCAAAGTAAAATGTAAATTTACCATATTTTAAACGTAGTATCTTTGTTCTTTTAACTGCCTGCTAAATTTTCCTACAATCGCCAGCGGCTGAAGGGATGGTGTAAATCCAACTAGGGTCAATGCAGGTAGCACAGGTACTGTAAGTCCCCATCGTCCCTAGTATGGTGATCTACCTTCAGTTTTGGGCGATCTAAAGCCTATTTTTATATTGTATTGTCCTCTATGGTTAAAATGTTTTAGATTTAATTATTAGTTTTACATTTATATCTGTGATATTCTAGTTGTTTTACTGTCCTTTGTCGACTGCTATTTAGATTGATTACCTTGTTTTCATCGCTATATGGCTGTAATATTGCCGATGCGATGTAAAATTTTAACTCACTCACTCACTAAAAGATAAACAAGAAAAAAGTAGAAAAGCAACATATCTAAAATCAGCCTTACTGCTTACCACGTCTGGTTTAGACAGCTTGTTCGTCCAGTGGGGCAGGCGACAGTGATATATTGCTTTACACTTCAGCCTTCCGCCAGATGTCTCAACTATCTCAGCAACACGTAAACCTGCTGGGCGTTGTGTCCTAATCTCTTCTCCTATCTCTTCCCCTGCAGCCCTCAAAATACATCTGGAAAGTTGTCCAGTCAGCATGTTTTGATTTTGTCCAACGGAACTAACGATGACGTCATCCTGCAAACACAACGTTAGTGGACACTGCATGGTGCCTATACTGACGTTTGGTTCCAGCTTTACTTAACAATGACGCATACATAACTACCATGAAATAAATGATCCGTGAAGATCCGGGTAAGAATTGGTCTTCAGCAACTGATGCTTTTCGTATGAGGCAACTAACGTGATCAGGTGGTCAGGCTCGCTGACTTGGTTGACACACGTCATCAAATCCCAATTGCGTTCAATGATGCTCATGCTGTTAACCACTGGATTGTCTTTTCCAGACTCGACTATTTACTGACATCTGCCCTACATCTGGAACACTACTAAGTGTTGAGTTAAACAACAAACAGAAGGTCAACCTTTTTAGAAGAATTTATTGCGTTAGTTTAAGAGCACTTGTTTCATGTAATTTCAATGGTAAAAAGGTGACAATTTAAAAAGTCTACAGACAAGGAGTTAGCCAAGACAACACCAGCCTTCAATGTTGTGTTTCTGTTTACTTGAGCCCACAAGATGGCGTCAATGTCTGTACTGTGTGTGGCCACCAATGACAGCAATTAATGCTCGGCAGTGTCTCGGCACAGTTTGGATAAGTGGACGAATTGTTCCCCACTCTTCCTGCATCTGATGTTCGGCAAGGCCATGTCAAGACATTGACGTTAGAAATGGCAAGGTAGCGGATCGTGACGCGTGCTGTATGTATGCCCACTTCACGCAATCGATTCCTGACAGTTTGGTCGGAAATTCTTCTCAAAACATCGATGCGTTGTGCGGTCTCCGCGGTAGTGGCAAGACGATGACCTAAGTGGGCAGCCCGGATGTAGCGGTCCTGGGTTTGGGTGGTAACTCTTGGACAGCCGCATCTTGGGCGGAATTGGTCTGCAGGAAACTATCCCAAATGCGAGATATGGTGCTCTAATGGACTTTGAAATGTGAAGGAGGCCTATGGTGATGTTTTAATTGGCGGCACTCATTCGTGGCATGATGATTTCCTCTTTTCCAGGCAAAACGGAATCACTTTTCATAGTGATCAATATTTCTACAAACGCTTCTAAAACAAGGGGAAAGTTAAAATTGCCGCCTTTTGGCGCTGAAGCGGTTTACAATCACACAAAGATGATGTTTGGGAAAGAAATAGTACATTTGTAGCTTTTGCCGAAAGCTGCATGAGTCCAATATTCTCAAAATCGCCTATGCGTTTCTTATTTGAAGAGTGTAAAAAGGAAAATATTTCTAAATGTTCACACATTGTTCCCATAATAAACGACTTGACTATTTACAGACCGCCGCCATATAGCTATAATTTTTCCGAGTGCGGCGTTAAGCTACAAACAAAACAAAACGCCAGTCACAAAGTGAACTCACTGCGACCTCCGTTATCTGCTGCTTGAGAAAGGACAAGTTGAGGTGTGTATCTGCAACAACCAAACCATGTGATCTAATTTGATGAGAGCAGATCGGTTTTCCAGAACTTGAGACATGTAGAATAGATTAAAAAAGTCCCTGTTAATATTGTACCTTATGGTAACTGTAATTACTGGATTTTTAAATACGATGCGTTTTTCTGCTCTTCAACTCCGATGATCACTTGGTCGGCTTCAAGCCTACCTTTCCCCCAAAACCCTTGAAGATCCGGGATCATTGTATTATAACTGCGTAGATCGATGCTCATGATGATGGTTTGTCTGGTCCAGACTTCATTATTTACAGACTGCCTCCATATAGCTGGAATATTGCTCAGAGTGGTTTTTTAACAAAAAACAAACCAACAAATTTAAACCTTCCCACCAACTCACCAGGTTGATACTCTTTGACTTCTATGGTGCATCCTTCCTGACCCTGCAGAGTTCTCCTCTCACCGCTCTCAAGGACCATCATGCTACGTGGCCCTAGGCTTCTCCAACGGAACATACCAGCCATTCTTGTCGAATGTCTGGCTGGAGGAAAGTTTAACTCGTAAACAACTCAACAAGGAATTTCAATGCAATACCCTATTTTGACTTGTAGAATAGACCTTTCAAGAACTTTTCAAGTGAACAATGTACGTGCCTTTGTCACTTCTGTCGTAGTTCAGCTTACTTTGTGGCAAACACTTGGCATCATCACTACTTGAAAGTGATCCTTAAGCGTATGGAGTATAGCAATTTTAGTTCTGATAATAAGGGTATGTCAGTGATATGTCAGGTTAGCCAGTGGCGCATATACTCGTCAACTAGGAGGTTAGTATTTGCACATATGCAATGGTTATGAGTAAACAAACAAATGTGTTTTCGTTACCTAGAAACGTGTGCCAAAGTGAAACAAGTGTGACATTTAAGAACCTAAATGTGTGTCGTGCGTTTCATATGTTACGAATCAGATCCTTGAATAACTTTAATCTTTATGATGGAAATGGTAATACGAGGAATGACAAGTCTTTATGGAAACGCTGCTCTCGTTGATCATTAATAGATACTTCCCATTCCTATTACAGCTTCTAGAATACCTCTCAAACGGTGTATACGCGTGCTTGTACATGGTATTAACACACATTCCGAACCATCCATGCTCAAAGTAAGTGGTCCAAAGGTTGTTATGTGCATATATAGTCTTATGATTGGCGACTTCCTGGTTTGAGGACGATATGCTAGACAGTTATGAGTTTTATACCCATAGAATTCTTCAACAAACAAAGCTTTCACTTCGTGTTGCAAGTGTATAGACATGCGTCTGCACGGAAGCACGCACACACACACATGAGTGACGCAAACACAAATACACGAATCATACAAATGCACATGTACACACGTATATAACCATAGTCTACACTTATAAACATAGGGATACTCCATGCATATGTACATGTACACAGGTATATAACCATAGTCTACTCTTATACACATAGAGATACTCCATGCATATGTACATGTACACAAGTATATAACCATAGTCTACACTTGTACACATAGAGATAGTCCATTCACATGCAGATGTACACACGTATATAACCATAGTCTACACTTATAAACATAGAGATACTCCATGCATATGTACATGTACACAGGTATATAACCATAGTCTACATGTATACACATAGAGATAGTCCATTCACATGCAGATGTACACACGTATATAACCATAGTCTACACTTATACACATAGAGATACTCCATACACATGTACATGTACACACGTATATAACCATAGTCTACATTTATACACATAGAGATACTCCATACACATGCACATGTACACACGTATATAACCATAGTCTACATTTATACACATAGAGAGTCCATTACACATGCACATGTACACAGGTATATAACCATAGTCTACACTTATAAACATAGGGATACTCCATGCATATGTACATGTACACAGGTATATAACCATAGTCTACATTTTATACACATAGAGATAGTCCATTCACATGCAGATGTACACAGGTATATAACCATAGTCTACACTTATACACATAGAGATACTCCATACACATGTACATGTACACAGGTATATAACCATAGTCTACACTTATACACATAGAGATACTCCATACACATGCACATGTACACAGGTATATAACCATAGTCTACACTTATAAACATAGGGATACTCCATGCATATGTACATGTACACAGGTATATAACCATAGTCTACATTTATACACATAGAGATATACTCCATTACACATGCACATGTACACAAGTATATAACCATAGTCTACACTTATACACATAGAGATACTCCATACACATGCACATGTACACAAGTATATAACCATAGTCTACACTTATACACATAGAGATACTCCATACACATGCACATGTACACAAGTATATAACCATAGTCTACACTTATACACATAGAGATACTCCATACACATGCACATGTATTCTTCAAGTATATAACCATAGTCTACACTTATACACATAGAGATACTCCATACACATGCACATGTACACACGTATATAACCATAGTCTACCATTTAAACACATAGAGATACTCCATACACATGCACATGTACACACGTATATAACCATAGTCTACATTTATACACATAGAGATACTCCATACACATGCACATGTACACACGTATATAACCATAGTCTACATTTATACACATAGAGATACTCCATACACATACAACCATACATGTACACACGTATATAACCATAGTCTACATTTATACACATAGAGATACTCCATACACATGCACATGTACACATCTATATAACCATAGTCTACACTTATACACATAGAGATACTCCATACACATGCACATGTACACACGTATATAACCATAGTCTACATTTATACACATAGAGATACTCCATACACATGCACATGTACACACGTATATAACCATAGTCTACATTTAAACACATAGAGATACTCCATACACATGCACATGTACACACGTATATAACCATAGTCTACATTTATACACATAGAGATACTCCATACACATGCACATGTACACACGTATATAACCATAGTCTACATTTATACACATAGAGATACTCCATACACATGCACATGTACACACGTATATAACCATAGTCTACACTTATACACATAGAGATACTCCATACACATGCACATGTACACACGTATATAACCATAGTCTACACTTATACACATAGAGATACTCCATACACATGCACATGTACACAAGTATATAACCATAGTCTACATTTATACACATAGAGATACTCCATACACATGTACATGTACACACGTATATAACCATAGTCTACATTTATACACATAGAGATACTCCATACACATGCACATGTACACATGTATATAACCATAGTCTACATTTATACACATAGAGATATGCCATACACTTAAACATGCACATCACGTATACCATGACCATAGTACATACAGAGATACTCCATACACATGCACATGTACACATGTATATAACTATAGTCTACATTTTAACACATAGAGATACTCCATACACATGCACATGTACACACGTATATAACCATAGTCTGCACTTATACACATAGAGATGCTCCATACACATGCACATGTACACACCTATATAACCATAGTCTACACTTATACACATAGAGATACTCCATACACATTTTTACATGCACATGTACACACGTATATAACCATAGTCTACCATCTACTTAAATACATGAGATACTCCATACACATGCACATGTACACACGTATATACCAACCAGTCTACATGTACTGTACAACAACAACTCATGTAGATATATACTCCATCCACATGCACAACCACAACCCATGTACGTATATATACCATAGTCTACTGTACAACAACAACCCATGTAAGATATATACACCAACCATCTACTGTACAACCACAACTTATGTAAGATATATACACCAACCATCTACTGTACAACCACAACCCATGTAAGATATATACACCAACCATTTACTGTACAACCACAACCCATGTAAGATATATACACCAACCATCTACTGTACAACCACAACCCATGTGAGATATACACTCCAACAATCTACTGTACAACCACAACCCATATAAAATACATACACCAACCACTTACTGTACAGCCAGAACCCATGTAAGATATATACACCAACCATATACTGTACAACCATAACCCATGTTACATACATACACCAACAATCTACTGTACAACCATAATCCTTACAAGATACAAACACCAACCACTTTCTGTACAACCAGAATCCGTGTAAGATAATTACACCAACCATATACTGTACAACAACAACCCATGTAAGATATATACACCAACAATCTACTGTACAACCACATCACATGTAAGATATATACACCAACCATCTACTGTACAACAAGAACCCATGTAAGCTATACACACCAAAAATCTACTCTACAACCACAACCCATGTAAGCTATATACACCAACCATCTACTGTACAACCACAACTTATGTAAGATATATACACCAACCATCAACAGTACAACCACAACCTATGTAAGCTATATACACCAACCATTTACTCTGCAAACAGAACCCATGTAAGATATATACACCAACCATATACTGTACAACCACAACCCATGTAAGATACATACACCAACGATCTTCTATACAACCACAAACCATGTAAGATACATACACCAACCATCTACTGTACAACCACAACCCATGTAAGATATATACACCAACCATGTACCGTACACAAACAAACCCATGGAAGATACATGCACGTACCATCTACTCTACAACCACAACCAATGTAAGATACATAAACCGACAATCTACGGTACAACCAGAACCCATGTAAGATATATACACCTAACATCTACTGTACAACCACAACCTATGTAAGATATGTTCACCAACCATCTACTGTACAACAACAACCCATAAAAGTTACATACACCAACCATCTACTGTACTACCAGAAACCAAGTAAGATATATACACCGACCATCTACTCTACAACAAGAACCCATGTAAGATATATACACCAAACATATACTGTACAATATTAACACATGTAGGATAGATACACCAACCATCTACTGTACAACCACAACCCATGTAAGATATATACACCAACCATCTACCGTACAACCACAACCCATGTAAGATACACACACCTACCATCTACTCAACAAGCACAACCCATGTAAGATACATACAAAGACAATCTACGGTAGAACCACAACCCATGTAAGATACATACACCTACCATCTACTCAACAAGCACAATCCATGTAAGATACATACACCAATCATCAACTGTACAACCACAACCCATGTAAGATATATACACCAACCATCTACTGTACAACAACAACCCATGTAAGATATATACACCAACAATCTACTGTACAACCACATCACATGTAAGATATATACATCAACCATCTACTGTACGACAAGAACCCATGTAAGATATATACACCAACAATCTACTGTTCAACCACAACCCATGTAAGATA